TTCTTGAACATGTAAACTGCATGCAAGTAAAGCTTCACCTGTCATTCTCTCCGAAACTCCACCGTTACAGCAATAGTACAAATTATTAGTCAAAGCAGGTGAGATCAGAATCCTGATGACACCACAACTACTGTAGCACGATGTCCACAGTCCCTCTCTACCCTGCAGACCCTTCCGAATATTCTCCGCAGTGAGGGAGATCAACTGTTACTGCCAGTTTTTTTCTAAATTTGCAATAAACCGCAGCATAGTTCAGTATTGTCCCTCATTCTTTAGCACGTTCAAGAGCAGGTGGACAGTGTACAATCCCTTCTGCAGCGCTCCTGCTGCTAGTGCTTGTTAGCGCAGCGTGTCGTGGGTGTCATGTGTGTGATCTGCATGAGGAATGCCGTCAGTGGTGTGGTGAAACCCTTATGTTGAGGTGTTTATGAGCTGTGTGTTGCTCTTGGGGAGTTTTGCAGGTGAGCTGAGCTGTTCAGAGCTATGCTGGTAATAAACTCTGTGTGAACAGCGAGGAAGACGTGGCTTCAGCTCTGCACAGTGCTGGTCTAGAGTTGAGAAACCTATAGGCGTGAGCTGTGTAGATGAGCTGGGGGTGTTTCTATGGTTGTGTGTGTGTGAGTTCCTCCAGCACTGACAGGAGCAGCTCTGGTCTTCTGCAGTAATTAGGCTGCAGCTCAGGTGGACACCTCTGTCTCCTCGGGGAGCTTTCTGTGGGTTTTCAGGTTCGTGGCGGCTCCCACGGGGCAGTAGAGGCTTTATATTCCAGCGGTGTGGGAGATGGACTTCAGAAAGCCTTGAAGACTCTTCAGAAAGTTTGCACTGTTGTGTCGTCTGTACTGTCGTGTGGTCTGGACCTCTATGGACCTGTGTGTCACCATCAAAGGCGTCTCCTTCCTGCTGCAGGCTGGTCTGGGGATACTGGCCAACGCACTGGTTCTGCTGGCGTATGCCCACATCCGTCTGGCGGAGGCGCGACTGCAGCCTGTGGATGCCATCCTGTGCCACCTGGCGCTGGTGGACTTGCTGCTGCTGCTGACTCGCGGTGTCCCGCAGACTATGACTGTGTTTGGCATGAGGAACCTGCTGGACGACACGGGCTGTAAGGTGGTGATCTACACGTACCGTATCGCCCGAGCGCTGTCCGTCTGCATCACCTGCATGCTGAGCGTGTTCCAGGCAGTGACGGTGGCGCCCGCGGCAGGACCGCTGCTATCCGGGGTGAAGGCCCGGCTCCCACAGCTGCTCGCGCCTACATTTGCAGCACTGTGGTTCATCAATATGGCCGTCTGCATAGCTGCCCCATTCTTCTCAGTGGCCCCTCGCAACGGCACCGTCCCACCATTCACGCTCAACCTGGGCTTCTGCCATGTGGACTTCCATGATAACCTGTCGTACGTGCTGAACGGGGTGGCCGTGTCGGTGCGGGACTTTGCCTTTGTGGGGGCGATGCTGGCCTCCAGCGGCTTCATCCTGCTGCTGCTCCACCGGCATCGCAGGCAGGTGCGGGCTGTCCGCCGTTCTCAGGGGTCCACCATGGAGACACGGGCCGCCAGGACGGTGCTGATGCTGGTAATTCTGTACTCCGTGTTTTTCGGCATCGATAACGTGATCTGGATCTACATGCTGACAGTGGCTCAGGTGCCGCCGGTGGTGGCCGACATGAGGGTGTTTTTCTCCTCGTGCTACGCCTCTCTCAGCCCGTTCCTCATCATCTCCTCCAACAGGAAGCTGAAAGCGAGGATGGTGTGCGCGACCTCAGAGCAGGAGCGGCAAGCGGAGGACGGCAAGAACTCCAGCGGCAAGAACTGAGCGCAGAGCTGATGTTATTTGTGTAGTGATGCAGATGTGGACGGCACTGCTATAGTTGTGTCTGTGTGTGAATGTGTTTCATAAAGGCTGTTAATAAACGCACTGATGGACTCTTGTTTTGACGCGTCTATTGAGGACTCTTATTTTGACGGGTAGTTATTTGGTCGCCATCTTAGCCGGTTGTGTCTGGCTTCAGGCGCGCGCACCCCGACCCGACCCGGAAAACCGGAGCCCAGTGTAGCAGACGGTGAGATCCAGTTTAGCTCTGCATTCCCGCGTGATTGAGCTGTTAAACTGATGAAAGAGTGCCGGTTACTCCTGTAAAATTCGTTACACGGTCAGTCGGGCTCGTCGCGTTTGGCGGATTACTGTCTTCACTGAAGAGAGTCGCTCACTTCCGCTTGTGTCATTAGCCTGTTAGCTTCGGCTATAATAATAATAATTAGGATGATTATAAGGATGATAATAATGATAATGGCACTAAACTCCGCTGTTCAGAGCAGCAGATGCTGATGAGATCGCGGTGGTGTTGGTGTATTTCACCCTCTGCTGCTGTAAACAGGAGAATCTGATATAAACACTCACTAGCACAGCACACGCTCATTCTGGACCATCATCATGATTAATACACTGTAGTCAGGCTTTTTTAATTGTGTGCATTATTGATGATGATGTTGAAGGTGATATTTTAGGTCATGAAGATGAATTCTGTTTAATTATTGAAGCTTTTCTGTGTCCAGTATTTCCATTTATTCGTCATCTGGAAGGTTCTTTATAGTATAATGTCATAAATTCATGTTAATTGTTGAAGACATGTTCCCTGTTTGATTCCAAGAAGCTCTGATAACATTTATCCCAAATTACAGATAATACACGTCGTCACTCTGAGCCATCTCACATTAGTCAGGTTAACACACGCGTGTTCATGTGAGTAGAGTTTCCAGCAGCACACTCTGATGTCTGCGCTCTTCTGCAGTTCAGTCGCTGCTATTGAAAATGACCAAGACATGAGCAGGTCTGAGGTCATTTCCTGCTGTAAACGTCAACATTTCATTGTAAATAAGGCAGAAATGTCATCAGTAGTTCTCAGAATAAACACTCAGACACTGTTTAGACAGCGCAATATTCATGGTTAGACTTCTGTTTTTTTTTATCTCATCTAATGAAATCTTTTGATCTTTTTATATTGTAATTTTCTGGTAAAAAGCTATTTATGACAGTGTGTTTATTAGAAGTAAATGTCACATGTTAATGTTTTTTTTTACTGAAAACTTGCGCACACACTCAGGAATAAAGGTGCGTGAGCTGTCCCTGCGCTGGTTCCTTTTCAAAAGATACACGTCTGTACTGAAAAGGTCCATATTAATACCTCAGGGGTACATATGAGCACCTACAATCTACAAAAGTGTTCCTCCTAAATTTTTATTTACTAGTCTATACTTCTGAGGTACCAAGATGGACCCTTAAAGTACAAACATGAACCTTTTAAAAAGGAACCAGCCTATTTTATTTCTGAGAGTGTCATATATGCAGAAAATAACTGCAGGTGGAGGCTTACTGTTTTCCTCTGGTATATTCACACACACACACACACACACACACACACACACACTGTAATCAGACTGTGTCTTCACCTGGACAGTGTTGGCGCAGTAATGGCCGCCATCCGCAAGAAGCTGGTGATCGTGGGGGACGGTGCGTGCGGGAAGACGTGTCTGCTCATCGTCTTCAGTAAGGATCAGTTCCCGGAGGTGTACGTGCCCACCGTCTTCGAGAACTACGTGGCCGACATCGAAGTAGACAGCAAACAGGTGCGTGTGCAAACCAGCTGCGCAAGACAGCTTATAGTAGTGTGCGTGTGTGTGTGTGTGTGTGTCTCTCTCTCAGAGCTGTGTGTGTGTGTGTCAGTAACAGATGATCAGCTCTCTGTCAGCAGCATGTTCCTCAGGAAACACACATTAGCCAGGAGACATGACCACATGCCGCTCTGCTCATCACGCTCTCCTCATACAGCCGTATACGTGGCCATTACACACCCATAATGCACAGCGATGAAGCCTGGGTCATCAGTACGTTGGGTCGTTTTGCTTTCTCGCTATAATTGAGGTGAGACTAACTGATGGATTTGGTGCAGGATTCACAGATGCTAAACGCTAACGCTAAGACTGTGTTCACACACGACCGACAGTCAGCCAGAGGCAGATTACACTGTAGTGAGCAGGAGCACCGGCCCGATCAGACCACTGAACAAACATCCTGTCTACTGTCCTGAACATCTCACACACTGACCCGGCGCATCAGGCAGTGCTTATTGTTCAGCCCTGTGTGTGTGTGTGTGCAGGCCCGGATTGGCTAATCAGCAGGACCGGGAGAATTCCCGGTGGGCCGGTCCGTTTTTTGGCCGCGAGGGCCGGTGTCCCTAGCTCCAGAATCTGTTGCTCTCAGCAGTCACACTTTTTAAATGAATTTATTTACTTACTTGACCGCAGTCTTCTCCATTATTTTACCGCAGCTCTGCTCTTCTTATATGTAGCCAGCCTGCAGGTTAATGATGATGCAACTCAGATGAGTCACTTCTCAATGTACAGCTGTTGTGGTCCAGTGGTCAGCACGTTAGATTACGACGCTGCCGACCCGGGTTTGATCCTCGTCTGAGTATGCTATTATTATTATTATTTACATTTTTATTGTTAAGACATATAATACTGTAAGGGTTGTTGAACATTTAAAGCTCTAAAGCAGCTGTTTTCCCAAAATAAGACGTGATTAGACGTAATT